TCCCTGACAGCCAACCACACTCCAAAGAGCATTGTCTTCCTTGGGTGCACTCTGAGATGCTGTCCTTGGAACCCACCATAGCTCCTGGCACTGTTGTGTGGCTGCCTCCTTCCAGAGGAAGATGATGGTAGCAGAATGGAAGGCTTGGAAGGATAGATCCTTGTAAGTTCATAGCTCCAGTTCTAAGGAGATGGTGGAATGGCAGAGTTGGGTAAAAAGGGGGGAAAGGTGGGCCTATGTGGAAATAACATTTCTCAATTGCATACCCTGTTGGATGAAAGGGTGCGGGTTCTCCAGCTACCCGGAGGAAGGTCTCCCTCCTGAAGCTCCTTTTCCTGAAGCTCCAAAACTTCAGGTACCAGGTGCCACAGATGTGTTTTCTTGGGAAAACTCTTCTCTATCCATCCTATGGGGACTCCAGATTGAAACTGACCTGCTCTTCCTACCCCTCCCCAGGGACACCTGACTTGGGGGTTCAACCACCCATGCACGCCCCTTTGATCTTTCTGTCTCTCCAAGGAGACCTGAGCTGGCCACTCCCAGTGCCTTCTCGTCCTCTTTCAAGCTTCCCTCATTCTCCGATCTTTACGCTCCCCCACCCAATTCTAAGACTGCTGTCTTCACTCTGAGTCCTGATAATGAGAGTGTGTGTGTGTGTCCCAACATGAATACACCTGCGTGAGTAGCATATTCAAGTGAGAGGTGTGTATATGGGTATGGTGAGGACCGGTGGTTTTGGGGGTGTATGTTTCTCCTCTAACATGAAGCAGCTTAGATGTGTGTGGACAGATAGCTCTTAAATGGTAGGTACACATGCCTATGCATTTATATGCTTGGATTTTCTGTACTTTCAAGCGTGTACACCTGCAATTCAGCATGTATAGTCGTGGGTCTGTGTAAGAGACAATACAGTGCTTTTATTCAGGGATATTGCTATTCGTCTTTGGGTACGTAGATGCGTATACGTCACAGCCTATACTCTGTTCTTGCAGATGCATAAAGGAACCTCTCTGTTCTTAGAGGGATGCTAAGGTGAACATCATTTAGACACCTGTTTATTGGTATATGCGAGTGTATGTTGTATTTGAATGGAGTCTCTGTTGAGTACACGAGGTCACAGATGCTTGCACATGGACACCTGTCCACCAAGGTCTTGGGCACTAATGTTTAGAGGCAGGTCCTGCACACAGACTGAAATGCGGCCACTGGGCCAGGCCTGCTGCATTTCCTACGCCCTCCCAGGAGCCATCAAACTAGACTAGCCTCCCACTCCCGAATTCTGTCCCAGTTCGAGCGCGGCTTCAGCCTCACTGGGCGCCAGGGGAAAGGCGGGGCGTCACATGGGCAGAAGCCCAGACCGCGGATCCCACTCGCGGCCTCAGGGGCCAGCAGGAGCTGCGGTGTCGCAACCGTACGGGGCCACTG